TTGTTTCATGCATCAATATTTATCTCGGATTTGAATTTTCAATCTTTGGACTAGGAATTTTGTTTATTGACACACTGAAATAGTCAGAGAAACTGGTAGGAGAACACTAATATACTCTTGTGAATGCTGCACTGTAAAGTTTTGGATTTACACATTAGCGAGGACACTAATATAACGAGGAATAACAAGAGCAAAGAAGCTAAGTGATATCATATTTTTAATATGCAATATATGTAGAGAGGTTAAAGAGATTTGTTTGTTTTCCCTTCTTCAATATCAAATTGCTGTCGGTTTAATGTTTCTCCCTCTTTTGGTTTAACAATTAGTCTGGAAAATCGATAATGCCTTTGGATGACAGAAATGTCACTTTTTCTTTTGTCGCATAAAAATAATGTAATGACTTGTACTAACTCAAGTAATTAAAACTTATTCATCTTCGCAGTTGATGTCATGTGTTCGATCCCTTCCTTTTCGGTAAAATGCCGCTTGCATTAGAAGAAAGAAAAATGTTAAATGCAAGAGGCCACTCCTCGTATTGATTATTTGATCATTATTGTTATTATAGTTTATAAGCCATCCATAATTAACTTAGTCAATGAAAGAAAGTTAAGCTGCTCTAGTTTAAAAATAAGTATAGCCCCCACCAAGTCAATGGCTCAGATTTAGGAATGGGCCCGCAGATATTCTTAGATGAGCATGGATGAAAATCAAACCAAAGTGAATGACAAAGTCTCAGTATCTTTGAGTAAATGTCAAGAAAGGAACATATATAAGGCCAAAAAAAAAGATGTCTTCATTTGAAGAAAAATTAAAAAAACATAAAAGCTTTTGTTGTTGGACTGGCTTAGGAATTGTATCACATATCAAAGCACGCGTAATCTTACTTTTCCCTCTAAGTCACAAGCCATTGCTTTCTAGGCTTGTAGCCCTTCAAAGATTTTTAGTCTAAAATACACATATATATAAGAAAAAAATACAAAAGATAAATCAAATTATATAAATATTTGTCCATTTACCAAACTAAAGCTTGTAGCCTTCTAATACGATTTTTATTGTAAAATCACTTTTTTAAATGCTGCAGAAAACCCGATGGAGGGGGTTTTCTATTTTATTTTTTCTTTTGGTAAATTATTTTTTAGTTGAAGTTACATGTCGACAATTTATTCTCAATCGAAATCCATGTGTATTACCTTTTACTTGGGACTAATGTCATTAAGAAAATAAATTTTTTTATGGTTCGAAATTAAAATCCATCAAAACAACCAATTCAAACCGATGCAAATTAATTATCGATTAGGTTAGACTGAATTTTTAGTTCAAGAATGTTGTCTTTTAAAAAAATTAACTGAATTTTTTTCAATCCTGATAAATTCTAACTTGAGACTACATCTAACAAAGTGAAGAGAAATACGACTAAATTTGCTAAATTTATTATATTTCAACTATAATAGACGTTAGAATGTGGGTGAGTTTCTTCCCTTGCAAATGTAAGTTACTTGATGTAAGAATTTGTAAAGTGCTTGAATTACCTTCATTTTACTTGAACTAAACTACAAAGGAAAACCTCCTTGGCCCTTTCATATCTAATCAAAAGAAGAAAAAATTATATTAATGGTAAAATTGACAATAGATCAGTAATTATACATTTTAAATAACAGACACTCACTTTAATATGTTTATTTTAGAAATACAATGACCCTGTTTCACTGTTGGGAAGACAAGCAATTTTTTTTTTTTGGGGGTCAAAAGGAAGACAAGTAATTAAAAATACTTAAAAATTGGAATTTAATTTTTTTAATTAATTTTTTTTTAAATACTACTTGGAGTTCCATACTTGATACCCAATAGGCTTTCATTCTGCTTAGAGATCTGTTTTAAAATACCAAAAAAAAAAAAAAGGTGCTTGGGGTTGGATTGGAGTTCCATACTTGATTGATACCCAATAGGCTTTAAGAAAGATACTTGGAAAAAAATGACATCTGAAAACATTCTTTTAGTTTGTTTATTAGAAAGAATGGGAGATGAGATCTCATTGCCTTCAGAATAAAGAAACCTTTTTTCATGCATAAAGGCTTTTGAAAAATGTGGCGCACACACACAAAGCTTGCAACAGATACTGCAGTGCCACATCAGCACGAGTAAAATGCATGCTTTTTCGTGGAAGCTTACAATTTAGTTTTCTAATTAAAACTTAACAAGTGATGAGACTGAAAACTTTTGGAAAAAAAAAACGTTGGTAATTGGTGTTGAGAAATTAACAATTGTGAGAGCATTCAACGTGAAGAATGCATATTGGGTGATGCATGAAAATGTGTAGCAATTCATGACAGAATTACAGCGTCCGATTTAAAATTAACTTTGTAATGATAGTAAACTCTTTAAAAAATGTATTGTATTTTTTGTTATATTAACTGATCACATAATGTAATTATTGATTTACTTAATTATTCCATTATTATTATGGATTTTTGTTCGTTGACATCAACAATACCAAAGGGTGTGGTACATGACATGACATGTTCTACGTATACTTCTATTAAGTATACGCTTGTTTTAACATAGTTAAATTAGTACGTAATACCATATGAGGGTATCCCAAGGACATCCAAGAGGCGACAAATACTCGTTCTTGACCTTCATCACACACGAAAACATCACCTCACCAATCATCTCAGCTAAAAATCATGAATTTTAATGAGTAAAGGCCTTGTGCTTGGCAATTCAAGTGGTACCAATAACACCAAAATAACATGTCATGTACGTGGGAATGACCAACGACTACTTACAGCCTTTATAGAGTGAATGGAGAGGTATCAAATTGGGCATTAATGCCGTTATAAAACATCTTCTATTTTAATTTAGTCTAAACTATTAAAATGAGGATTTAAACTTGTTGCAAAATACATCCGTTTAACTTGACTAAGCCTATGCGCATTTACTTTGGCTTCGCCTAAGAGTTTGGGGTAAAAACTCGTTTCCAGCAGTGGAGGCAGGCCCGGCCGCGAGGGTGGGACCCAGCAAAACAGGCTGGCCCGATCTCCAACCAGGGCTGGCATGTGCTGACGTCGTCGTGACGCTAGCGCTACAGTGTCCGCCAACAATTATATGCCATGTGTCGTGTCCTGGGCTCTCCGATCATAATTTCTACTCCAATCCAATGGCAGCCAATATTTTTGTAATAAAAAATTGAAATAATGGCACATTAAGTCAATATATACTTCATATTAAAATCCCATAAAATCAAGTTTTCTTATTTGATGTGTAAGGAATAAAAGCCGCCAAAAATTATCTTGAGAAAATAATTATTCCAAAAAACCATTTTTCATACTTAGTCAATATTGCACCTCCGCTTTTAACGCTTATACTTTTTTTTTTCTATAAATACCAACCAATACAACTAACAAAATAAAATCTTATTCGAAAATATTATCTGATAAAATAAAATCTTGCTTTTCATTTCTTAGTTTGCTTGCCTTTCATTTCATTGCATTTTTTTTTTTGTTTTGTTTTAATAATTAGTGATCATTCATTTATTTTATTTTATTAGTTGTATTGATTTATCTGAAATTTGAATTTTAAAATTTATATGAAATTTGAAACCAAAAATTTTATCCGATATGAATAGTATTGACACGTAGGAACCCAAAAATCTTATCCGAAAATATTATCCAAATCAAATGTTTAAGTAAACAAAGTTGTGAAAAAAATAAAAAAAATGAATATTATTTGTCATGACAAGCCTAAAACTGCTGGAAGCACACTTTGCTGGGGGCTTAGCAGCTAGGTGTTATATTTGACCATTAATTTGTTTGTTGCATTAGAGCACTAGCCTACGAGAGAGGGAGAGAGAGAATGTGTGAGAAGGACATTGAGGGGCATGGGCATGAAAATTACATCAAACATGGGGTTGTGTCTTCACCTTGCATTGTGGCATATGGGTAGGTTTCCCAAGTTTAGAAGCTGTGATGTAAGCCACGTACCCATGTCCTCTAACTACTACGATAAATACAAAAACACCCATGAACCCCCTCTCTAGACATGCATGATCTAGAACACCTATTTTATACTCTCTCTTTTTTTTTTTTTTTTTGGGTATAAAGAAACAGTTTATACTCGTTAGTGTTTGTGTAAAGGAAAATACTGGTTTTAGTTTTCTATTTAATTTGTATGTATATTTTTGTATGATAATAGTTACTAGTTAAGAAGTTATGTAAAATGACGAGAACGCTGAGATTTTACCAATTAATTATGCTCGTTAGCAATTTTAACAAACTCTTCATTTTTAAAAAGGTTATACTTATATCTTACAAACTATCATATCCACCAATCCAGTGAAAGTATTAAGTAGCCAAAAATTCAAGAAATAAAAAATTTTAAAATTGACATAATGGATGTAGTAATGTGTCTTAACTAGAAATAAAATTGTGGGGATTTTAATCATAGTAATAGAGTATTGTTCAAACAATCGTAACAAGAGTTCGATTTTTGCTTTTCTCCTGTTTTGAATAAAAAAGAAAAGAAAAGGATAGTAGTGAAGCTTAGGAAATTTTGTAATTATGGTCCAGTAATTGGGTTTGGTTTGCGTAAGTCTTCCTACAACTAGTTATATACAATTATATGACTATCTCTTTTATCACGTGATAATTTATTCATTTTTAATATAAGGGATATTAGAGGTGGGAGGCAATCGAACCTAAAACCTAAGGTGCAAACATAAATAATCTTAACTACTTGGATTATAAGTCCCTTTGATGATGAACCAAAACACAACCCTTACTATTATTATCATTATTAAGTAAGATTGAACCATTTTTGTTTGGTTGAAATATAAATAACCATGTAATAATAAAGCTAAACAAAACCAGAAAAGAATAGAAAAGGAAAGACTAAAAGCCCTCAAGAGGGTCCCACTACTAAATAGATGCCCCAAAGGCCGCAAAATGAACGCTTATATAAATCCCCTTTCCCTTCCCACCGCAAAATGAACGCTTATATATATCTATCCCCTTTCCCTTCCCACTACAGTCACCTCTTGTGCTCTCACTCACTCACTCACTCACACAAAGCAACCCGCGTTGGGCCCTTGAAACTTTCGAAACGTTCCTCTTTCCACCACCACCACCATGGCTAGATCCCACCAGCGGTATCGCGGCGTCCGACAGAGACATTGGGGTTCTTGGGTCTCCGAAATTCGCCACCCTTTACTGTAATTCCCATCTCTTAACTGTTTCTATTTCACTCCTACAAAATGTTTCTATCATGTTTATTCTTAAAATCAGTTTCTCACCAAACCAAGCTGTTTGTTTTTTAGTTCACGCAATTTCATTTTGAAGTTTTGATGCTTGTGTTACTTTGATTAGTTCTGAACTAGAAACGCGTTTCTTTTGTTCTTTTTTTTTTTTCAGGAAGACCAGAATTTGGCTAGGCACATTCGAAACGGCGGAGGACGCAGCAAGAGCATACGATGAAGCAGCGAGGCTCATGTGCGGCACAAAGGCACGTACCAATTTCTCATACAATCCCAATGAGACCATGTCACATTCATCCAAGCTTCTCTCGGCAGCTTTGATTGCAAAGCTCCACAAATGCAACATGGCCTCTCTGCAAATGGCCAAAACTACTAATAACAAGCCAGTTCCAAAGGAGGAGCCACAGCAACAAGTACACTACATGCCAGCAGCCCCTTCTGCCACCTGCATTATCGAAACTGGCGACGTTTCGGGTTTCGATTGGCCCGAGAAGATCAGAGAGTACAGTGGAGTGCAGCAATGGGTTGAACAGGGGAGCTGGGTTGGTGGTGGTGATCAGGTACTCGGGAGTCCACACGATCATCAGCAGCATCATCAGCATCAGCAGGAGTTTATTGAGAGACTTGAGGATGATCATATAGAGCAGATGATTGAGGAGCTGCTTGATTATGGTCACATTGAGATTTGTCCTGGTGTTTCAACATAGGGAAGAGAAACTCATCAATTCATCAGCATCTTCTGTGCGAAAATGCAAAACTTTTTTGTATTAGCTATATAGCTATTAGCCTTATGTCTAATAAAATTTAGTTAGATGAGTTTCAATGGTTAACTAGTATCCATTTGCAAACTTATATGAGAAAGAAAGAAAGAATCAAAAAATATATATGCAGCTACATATAGCACACAAATCTTACGAGAAATAGAACTTATTATAGTGGTTTCTTTAGTCTTTTGGGGTAATGTATGGAAACACATATTAAAAACAGAGATTGATCTCATTTGTCACTATTTTGGTCAATTTCGAAACAGAACTGTTATTGGAACTTCAAAAAAAGTCATCATGCACTCGTTAGTTATAAAATTATAAGGAGAAAATTGCACTCCTAGGAATAATGCATGATGATTTTTTTTTTTGGAGTATCAATAACAGTTTCCTTTTTAAAAAAACCAAAATTGCACAAATTAAAGACTCTTGAATTAAAAAAAAAGGTGCACACGCCAAAGTAGAAAACCAGCTTGAGTGTGTATGGAACCTATAATTTTCTGAGGGTGAAAATTACATTCAAAACTTGAATGCGTCGTATGGAATTTTCTGATAAGGACAATACACACGAAAAGACAACGAAGTGAGGAGAAAAATTATAAAAGAAGAAAAAAAGTCGACAAATTGAGAGTGAAAGCATATATGTTATAGAATTTTTGGTGTTCATTGTCGAAATGGACAAAGACATTTTAAAAAAAAAATTGTCCTGTACCCACTCATCATATTATTAAGCTTGAATCACAAAATAATAGATTTTCAAACAAGAATCCCAAATTTAATAGATTAGTCCAGAACACAGATTGAGAGAGAGTTTGAGTGAAATGTCATGATTGAGCCACAATTGCCTGATGATAATATGAAATATTTGTCACAAAACTATTCTCCAAAAAGAGAAAATAATAAATGATAAATAAATAAATAAAAGCTGCCCAATAGCTAGGCTTTCTATATACGTAAGAGGCTAACAACCATAAGTTTAATTTTGGTGGGGTTTGAAATTGGAAATTTCGGAGGCAATTGTGTCAACAGTGAAATATCCAATTATATCGAGTCAATATATATGCTCAATGATCAGATGCGGCCAAAATATGATCAGAGTTTTTGCAGATTTTGATTTCCTCACTCTCTCTCTCTCTCCTCTCTCTCTCTGCAGAAACATTCTCATTGTTTTCTCACTGCTTTTCTAAGTTGATGTGTAGATTAGACAACTTTGTTATCCTTCCAGCTTAGATCCACTGATTCCTAGCCAAAAGAGTCACTTTTTGACCCATATGAACGAAAGGGAAAATTTATATTAAAAAATTAAAAAAAATTACTTACAATCCAATTTCTTGTTTTATCCGACTCCAATAAGGTGATTCATACATCTGGTAATTGTGTGATTATAAGCAGATAAATATAATTGATTTGATGATAGAGTTAGTGTTGTTATTAGCAGCACTCAAGCGCTATCCGGTTAGGAAAAAAACAAACCTGCTAATCATTTAGACCTGGTAAATTTATTTTCCAATGAGCAACGTATCTAACATATGATATTCGTTTTCTGGCAGGTATTAATTCAATATCAAAAGCAAAAGCCTAAAGGGGGTGTGATGATAAACAGTCCATTGAAAATGTTATTATTGCACTAATTAGCATATTTGTAATCATTATTATATCTTCAAAAGGAGATTTTAGCTTCATATTTTGAAGATTAGGCATAATCAAATTATAATTCTCTAGAGATTATTACCGGTCAACATGGAAATGCACTTTCTTCCGTTACTTTTGGAGTGTGCTTGTGGAACTCTTCCATGCTAAATAAACAAAGGCCTTGCAGTTTCCAACAGTTTGGGCCCACCTGTCATTTTTGTTTTAAACTTATCATGTCATAGTCTTTGTAAAATGATTTGATCACCTCACGCCAGATTAGGCAATGTGATTAGAGATGCTTTGTGTCAAAATTTGTATCTTATTGTCATAAATCTTTTCAATATAGAATGAACCACAAGTAAGACTACCAATCCAACCTAGAACTTATGATACACGGGTAAATACTCTTAATAACTTGAGTTAGAAGTCCCTTGCACTAGACCAAATAATCATTAACAAATACTCTAATGAGGTTAAACGCCATTTTTGCTTTAATTTTAATGTGTTTTCACTTTAGACCATGTACTTTTAAAAATTTAAAAAAAAAAAACACTCTATGATAAGAATTCGAACTTGAGTGCATGACGATCCATGAGGTTTTAGAGTGAGAGCAAGTTAAACCCTCATGCAATTGAAGGAAAGTGACAAGGGGGAAAGTAGCCAAACTTCTTATAAATTCAGGTTAGGTTCCTTATCTTTTCAATGTGGTACAAATACTCTCAATAACAATAATTAATTAAGAGAAATAAGATAAACCACTTCCTCACACACTCAAGCACCCAAATGAGAAGTCCTTCAAAAAAATAATACCATTTCCACTGTGCAACTTCACCTTTCTTGAGCCTATCGGATTGAGCCACCATTTGACCATGCGTTTTGTTCCACCTTAAAATAATGATGTGCCAAGTGTCCCAAGGCAAACTATTGGATTTGATACCACTTATTGGGTCCACGTCCTCTTCACTTTTCCCTAATTACATGAATTGCACCAATATTGTTCACAACTCAACCTCGGCGTCCAAAATATGGTCATGAAATTGAAATTATATGAATCTCTGGAATTGATTTTGTCCCCCGCCGCAACCATCTCTGGAATAATATGGTAAATATCAATGCTATTATGAGAGTTATCCTAAACATTTGGTCTTCGTGGTTGAAAACAAAAGTATGGTTATCAATATCCCAAAAATGAATTCGATCGCACACAATAATTTAACAATAAAATTAAAGAGCCTAACAACTTTGATGAATCACCCCGCTGCACATGAAATTGTAATAACAAAAATATATGAACAGCCACTTTTTTTATCCCCCACAAAATTATGAGTGAAGTTATTATTTCTTCTTTTTCTCAGGAAAGCAATAAAGCAGTCAAGATTAATCATGGTGCAAGGAAACTCATATGTATCCAAATTGATCATAAGGATGCAATTATATGACATCAAATAGCCCTATAAATCAGAGAGCATTTTTGCTCACCACTTTAATCCAAGGTGTATTTTCACCACATTTCTTAACACTTGACACGTGTCTGTGGATATAACCAATCCATGAATACAAAGCAAAGAGCTAACTATGATTATGCCAATGGACACGTATCAAGTGTTAAGAATGATGATGAGAGTACATCTTGGGTTAAAGTAATGAGCAAAAATATTTCCTTTAAATCCTTCATTACATGGACAACCCCACTCCCATCCCTTCACATGGACAACCATGTTATCTTCAAATGCAGAGAGTGCCTCCATATATATGCATGTTAGCATGCACATGGTTTTAGCTACCCCCTTTTATGATGTAGGGTTTAGATGGTTCTCTCTCTCTCTCTCTCTCTCTCTCTATGAATACCTAGTACTTGTTTCCCTTGTAGTTCTTTGTTCATTTTGTCTCACCCAATTTCTTCACATGAGCAACCATTGTGTCCAAATAATTTGTCTCAATATGCATGATTGTGAGAGCATGCATGCACCTGGTTGTAGGTTTTCAGCTGCCATTTCACATGAGCCAAGTTATGGCACATTGGAACAATATTTGCCATGTTACCTTGTAGTTGTCACGTCACTGTCTTCCTTCTACTTGATCTCTTAGGAATTTAAAGGGTGAAATCATGCTTGTATAACCTGGTGCAACAGTAACTTTTTCATTTATCGGTATTTGTTTGTCGAACCGATATATATATATATATATATTGATGTCAAATCAGGCGTTATACCTAGGCCGTTGGATCAAGAAAATTGATTTTTTGTTGATTGTCTAGATAATATTTGTCGAATTTGACAAAAAAAAAAGAAGAAGAGATATTTATTTGTTATAGAGTAGTTTTTTTTGAGTTGGAACTTATTGGCCTATCATTTGAAATCCTTATTGGCCTATCAAATTTAGTCCAAATCCAAATATTAAAAATAGGTCCAAAGAGTATGATTTGAATTTGGACCCCTCAAGTCCAAATTCCTCCTCCTAAATCTTTCAATCCAAAACCCTAACACTTTCCATAATTTTTATATTATTTACAAGTCTCCCTTAATCTGAATAATCGTATATCATTAATTTGGATCATTCTTAAAACTCAAATGTTGCATCCGAAAGTCATACATATGATCAATGTCACAAATAATAATGCCATTGTTGCCTTACTATTTTGGTTGGCAGAGCTGTCAGAGTTAAGTTTCATCGAATTTTCTCTTCAAAATTTCCATTTAATCCAGTATTATTTTTTGGGCTAAAGCATTTCGTGAGATGAATTTTCAACGATATTAAAGAAGAAAATAAAAAAATCGAGCCCCTAGAGATCTCCAAGGCAGTTAAGAAGAGTAGGGGAGAATTTCTACTAGTTTCACCACCTCTAGTCTAGTGAAAACGGTATCCCACATTTTGGGGTATCATTTTACTTTGCATGCAGAGACATATAGGAAACAAACTGCCACCGAGTGCAAAGGCGCAGAAGGCGAGTGGGCCAAATAGTTTAAGACAAAAAGAATATGATGAAGCGCAGAGTGAGCGTAACAATGCTTGATCTAACTGGCCGTATGACCGGGGCTAAGAGTCTAGAGAGAATACCAAAACTCTCGCTCCATCGCTCAATTGATGTTTTCCATAAAAAGACAGTTTCCCTTTTCGTTATATAAATAGAACATATCCAACTTTCAGTCCTTCAATATTACCAACTACTTCATTTGTTTTCCAGACTAAAAACACTGTGTGTGTATGTGTGCGCATGTGATTGGCTCGCATTAATCAAGTCCTGGCCTACTGAGATTGTATACTATTAAGTTTAAAATAAAATTAATAAGAACTCACTGAGGAAATTGAGAGTTGTGCAAGTGCCATATCGATATGTCTATTTATTTCTGTATGAGCAGATGAGTGTTTAATCAGAACAATCTCTCTTCTGGGTTTGGTTGTTTGGTGTGAAAGAAAACAAAAGAGAACATGGCAGAAGGAAAATCCATTAGCTTGGAGGAAATCAAGAAGGAAAATATCGACCTGGTAAGTCTTCTTATTATTCTTGTTTTCATTTTTATTATAAATATTTTGTGTACGTATTGTAAGTATAATTTAAAATTAATTGAAGAATGAAAAACTGTGTCAAGTAATTAAATTGTTGTTGTTGTTGAGATATATATGTGAGTCATTAACTTTGTGTTTCTATGTGTCACAGGAGCGTATCCCAGTGCTGGAAGTATTTGAGCAACTGCAATGCACAAAAGAAGGTTTGTCCACCGAGGAAGGGCAGAAGAGGCTTCAGGTCTTTGGCCCAAACAAGCTGGAAGAAAAGACGGTAAGTTTTCAAGATACTATTGGAGTATACTTCTGTTCCAAGTATTAGTTTGGGAATGAAGAAAACTGATCTGTTGGTACAATTTGGAACAGGAAAACAAGTATCTGAAGTTCTTGGGTTTTATGTGGAATCCCCTATCATGGGTGATGGAGCTTGCAGCTATCATGGCCATTGCCATGGCAAACGGAGGGGTAACAAACAAATCTCTCTCTCTCTCTCTCTCTCTCTCTCTCATGTTCTTATGATGCTAATGAACAATGCAGGGAAGACCACCAGACTGGCCAGACTTTGTGGGAATTACTGCATTGTTAATTATCAACTCAACGATAAGCTTTATAGAAGAAGACAATGCAGGCAATGCTGCAGCAGCACTTATGGCTGGTCTTGCACCAAAATCTAAGGTGATTTTTAGCCGAAAAATGTCTGGTCTTGCACTTATGTATGTTTGAAATACACTCTGGCATGCACATGCATTGGAATGAATTTTTTATGCTTCTTCGATTGTAGGTTCTGAGAGATGGAAGATGGTGTGAGCTAGAGGCTGCAATCTTGGTACCAGGAGATGTGATCAGTATTAAGTTGGGAGATATTATCCCAGCCGATGCTCGTCTCTTGGATGGCGATCCTCTCAAGATCGATCAGTCAGCCCTAACTGGTGAGTCTTTGCCAGTGACAAGGCACCCCGGTGATGAAGCTTTTTCGGGTTCCACCGTCAAGCAAGGTGAAATTGAGGCAGTCGTAATTGCCACTGGGGTTCATACCTTCTTTGGGAAGGCTGCTCACCTGGTTGACAGCACCAAACAAGTAGGCCACTTCCAAAAGGTACCACTCTGAGTTCAGGTTCTAAAACATTAATTGTTTGAAACTACACAAATTAACACCAAGCAAGTATTCCTTTTCATTAATTTTGCTGTCTTTTGGTTTCTGATGTGCACCGGTATTTGATCAGGTTTTAACTGCCATTGGAAACTTCTGCATATGCTCCATCGCCATTGGAATGATAATAGAGATAGTAGTTATGTATCCAATTCAGCACAGGAAGTACAGGGATGGGATTGACAATCTCCTTGTGCTTCTCATTGGAGGGATTCCAATTGCTATGCCAACAGTGTTGTCAGTTACAATGGCTATTGGTTCCCATCGGCTGTCACAGCAAGGCGCCATCACGAAGAGGATGACAGCCATTGAGGAGATGGCTGGAATGGATGTCCTCTGCAGTGACAAGACTGGGACTCTTACACTCAACAAGCTTACAGTAGACAAGACCATGGTTGAGGTCAGTGATACATCATACATGAGCATGAAAAAAGAGTATGTTCTAATGATTTACAATTCATGAATCTGAAGAAGACAGTATGGTTTAAGTACAGAAAAGGGAAACAAAAGGAAATAAATCAAGATTTTTTTAACATAATTTCATTGCTCAAGGAAATATCATTCATGAAACTTGTTTTCATTTACAGGTGTTTGTAAAGGATGTGGACAAGGATGGTCTAATTTTGCTCGGAGCCAGGGCTTCGAGGGTTGAGAATCAGGATGCTATCGATACTTGTATCGTTGGAATGTTGGGTGACCCCAAGGAGGTATATGCCAACATATGTTTTTTGTAAGCTATGAAGTCATTCCTGGCTGTGAGCTCTGCTCATACAATAGCATAACCCTTAGGAATGCTAACCAAATCAGAAGGGATACAAATTTTTTTATTTTTTATTTCTATTTGGAGCTAAAACATAATGGAATTGAGATAAATGATTGGACTTAGATTTGGGGCATCAACTATGGACTGTATTTTGACAGCTAAGGATTAATTTGACCATCATAACGTACTTTCTTTTGTGCTGCAGGCCAGAGAAGGAATAACTGAGGTCCATTTCTTACCCTTTAATCCAGTGGAGAAGCGTACAGCCATAACATATATCGACTCCGAAGGCAATTGGCACCGGGTTAGCAAAGGTGCACCAGAGCAGGTCATAAGTCCACCCTGCAATGCTTTTGTCATTAATCTATGTGTACCTTTTTATTTAATCTTGCAGCATTGTATGTACCATTTCAGATCATTGAGCTCTGCAACCTAAAAGGTGATCCTATGAAGAAAGCACATGCTATCATTGACAAGTTTGCAGATCGTGGTCTTCGCTCTCTTGCTGTTGCTAGACAGGTGAGCTTTTGTTCTCATTCCTACGAACTGTTACTTGATGATGATTAAATGAAGTTAATTTCTTCATGAATGGTTTGGTTCCAGACTGTGCCCGAGAAAAGCAAAGAGAGTCCTGGAACGCCATGGCAATTTGTGGGTCTCTTGCCTCTCTTTGATCCTCCAAGGCATGACAGTGCAGAGACCATTCGTCGAGCCCTTAACCTCGGTGTCAACGTTAAGATGATCACTGGTGACCAGCTAGCCATTGGTAAGGAGACCGGTCGCAGACTTGGCATGGGAACCAACATGTATCCTTCTTCTTCCCTCCTTGGTGAAACCAAGGATGAGTCTATTGCTGCCCTCCCTGTCGATGAGCTTATTGAAAAGGCTGATGGCTTTGCCGGTGTCTTCCCAGGTACTTGGACTTAATCCTCCACGTAAAGTTTTATTTCCAAAATTACAGATGTTGTATAATAGAACTAATCAATGTGGAGCCATGCAGAGCATAAATATGAAATTGTCAGGAGGCTGCAAGAGAAGAAGCATATTTGTGGCATGACTGGAGATGGTGTAAATGATGCTCCAGCTCTGAAGAGGGCAGATATCGGAATTGCAGTGGACGATGCAACCGATGCAGCTCGGAGTGCATCTGATATTGTCCTCACAGAGCCAGGACTGTCTGTGATTATCAGTGCTGTATTGACAAGTAGAGCCATTTTTCAGAGAATGAAGAACTACACCATCTATGCCGTTTCGATAACAATCCGTGTTGTGCTTGGTTTTATGCTCCTTGCCCTTATCTGGAAGTTTGATTTCTCACCTTTCATGGTTCTGGTTATTGCTATACTCAATGATGGAACAATCATGACTATTTCTAAAGACAGGGTGAAGCCATCTCCTCTTCCAGACTCATGGAAGTTAAAGGAGATCTTTGCCACTGGAGTGGTTCTTGGCACCTACCTGGCTGTCATGACTGTTGTTTTCTTCTGGGCTGCTAATGACTCTGACTTTTTCACAGTAAGAAAATTCCTACAATCCAAACAAATAGAAACACTCTGAACCCTATTGTAAAATCATCCCTATTGCAAATATGCTTATGCTAAAATTTGGCAGGACAAATTTGGGGTAAGATCTATCAGAGGAAATGATCCTGAGCTTACAGCAGCTGTCTACCTTCAAGTGAGTATTGTCAGCCAGGCACTTATCTTTGTTACTCGGTCCCAAGGCTGGTCTTATATCGAACGCCCCGGTCTCATGCTTGTGGGAGCCTTTCTCATAGCACAGCTGGTAAGTTTCAAAAAGTTTAGTTCTGGTTGCTGATACTGTAAACTTTGCATATTTTGGGTACAAAAACAAACTAAGTTTATGTTCATGTTTGTTTATCAAGATTGCTACAATCATTGCTGTTTATGCACACTGGGGCTTTGCAAGAATCCATGGTATTGGATGGGGATGGGCTGGTGTGATCTGGCTCTACAGCATTGTCTTCTACATACCTCTGGACATTCTTAAATTCATTATTCGATACGCATTGAGCGGCAAGGCCTGGGATAATGTACTTGAGAGAAAGGTATTTGATCAATCTTATGCTTAAAATAATATGTTTTCATTTTCATATCTCAGAACATTCTCTTTCATGTTTGATTCTTTCTTATTATACTCCAGACTGCTTTCACAACAAAGAAGGATTATGGAAGGGGTGAGAGGGAGGCACAATGGGCTACCGCTCAACGAACCCTGCATGGCCTGCAGTCTGCCGAGACAGCTGAGCTTTTCAGTGACAAGAACAACTACAGAGAGTTGTCTGAAATTGCCGAACAAGCGAAGAGGCGAGCTGAAGTTGCTAGGTAGTTATAACTGGAAGCTTGTATAGTATGGCCTTTGTAATGGAAACCTGAATTTAAATGGATCATAATCTTTGTTCTGCTTTTGGTTTCCAGGTTGAGGGAGCTTCATACACTCAAGGGGCACGTCGAATCAGTTGTCAAACTCAAAGGACTTGACATCGATACCATTCAACAACACTATACTGTTTGAGTGAGTGACATGAAATTTTGGCAAAGTGAGTCTGGAGAGGGACAAAAGACAACTAGCACAAGGCATGAGAATTTAGCGTTCATCCTTTAAGGAAAACCAAAAAAATAAAAAAATTTATTCTATCTTCATTTGATGTTGTAGAAGGATGAAGGGGTTGGGAATAATCCAACGTGGGAGTTGTCTTAGACAACCTAAGGTTGGAAATAGATATCAGGAGAGGTTGAATATGCTATTCTGTACGAATTAAATAATTAGTTCATTTTCAATGATAATTCTCTATATTTGCTTCTAGCATATCAACTTATGTTCAGAGTACAAAATAAATCGTTTCCCTATCTCAACAATAACGTTGTAGGTGAACCTTTTTAGAACAATGGATCAGTTAGTATCACAATACTAATTAAAATAAGCATCACATAAAAACACTTTATCACGTGTTGCAGCCATCGATATAAATAACGCACGTTCTTACCTGACAGACTGAATCCATACAGCCTATCTCTTTCCATTAAGTTTCCTCCAAAATCTCAATCTAAATTGCAATTGCTTTTCTAAATACCAAATATTGTTTGTTCTTATATGTTTTCAGTGTTTACAATAGAGTTAAATATACATGTTCACAACATATGCATGTGCCTTATTACAAAAACATTGTGCTACGGGCATGATTTTATTTTTATGATCACAAAAATGATACTTGGTGAAGCATAACGTTAGCATTAATCATAAATGAGCTTAAAATACATTCATTTCATAGCCAAGTATGAGTACGAATAATTTTTTTTATACACTCTAGCCAACTTGACTATGCCCATATCTGTGATTCGTGAATACGAACAATTTTTTAAGTTCAGTCTTTTTTGTTAGGTTTTTTTATAGCGTAGAGAGAATGATATCTTAAGAAAAATACGGATGAGAAAGAAACTCTGGGAAGGGGGGAGAGAGAAAGAGCTTAGGGTTTCAGCAATCCTTGGGATTTTTGGCAATTAGAAGAAGAGGAAGAAAAAAGCAGATTGGGAGACTTTGGTTGGTTTTGAGCTGTGGAACAACGTAGTGGATCAAGTTTTCATCTGGCCTTTTGGTTGGTTTTGAGCTGTGGAAGCTTTGATTGGGAGACTTTGGAGTCGGTTGGGCTTCCCAAAGCAATTTTGGGGACCTTAATTACTACTCCAAGCTGGATTTTTTCTTGTCCTTAGGATCGTTTTTGAAGGTTGGAGTGCTGTTAGGACTGTTGGCCTTCACGAAGCACTTTCAAACGATTTTTTTTTGGGAAGTGCTAAATTTAATTGGCTCTCACTTCTCTCTCCTTATCTAATTAATTATGATTGTCTTAATCTCGAGTATTGACCTCAATCTAATGGCCAGAATTTGAGGAGATTATATGATTACCCCAGAAGATGGATTACTATGAAGCTGTAGGCGTGGGAGAAACCCTATGCAGCTAATGTAGATCCTGGTGAGATAACTTTTTACCCAAAACAAGCTGTCTGCATGCATTGGTGGTTGGGTGTTTACTACAATCATTATACTCGAATTACCTCTGGTATTTATATGGACACTTACTTCTCTTCTCCCAACTGCTTCCTCTGCTTTACTCTTCTTCTTCTGTTTTACTGTGATTGTGCTTTCTGTTTCAATATGAGTACTCAACTCAATGGCAGTTATTCCCATGCTCGTGCACGTAGCCTAAGTCCGAGGTTTGAATCTCAACCTGGAAGAAGGTCTTCTCTTGAGCCTTCTGTGATCCACAAGGGTAGGTTTATCTTTAGGCTGGAGAGAAATGAAACTAGAGTCTCCACAAATGCATTGGCCCCTAGTGTCCAAAGTCTTACGAGACTTTCTATCTTGGGGGGTGGATGAAAGCCTTTGGTGTTCCTGTGCTGAGCAAGGTCATTAGCTAGGCAAAGACTAAAAATTGAATGGAAAAATCTGCAAAGGGATGTCTCTATTGATCACATGGGCCGTGACTGGTACAAGGTGGAGTTCTTCTTTGAGGAAGAGGTGTTGTTTGTGTTGGAGAATTGACCTTGGTTTGTCCAAGGCCAAATCTTTGCTTTGAAGCGCTGGACTCCTGACTTCTCCCCCCTTCCATCCTATGGTTAATTCCTTAGTGTGCTGGGCTAGAATTCCCTTCTTGCCTCTACATTACGAGGATCCTGAGGTGCTGTATGATTTGGTCTCTATTCTTGTTGACCCTATTACTATTGATTTGCCGCATTTGGAAGGCAAACAGAGTATGTTTATGAGAGCTAGGCTCTAGTTAGACCTCATCAGGCCTTTGAAGAGATGGTTAGTTTTGGGAGAAAGTCCCAAGGAAATAAAAAAATTCGTGAGTTATGAAACTCTTTTTGTTATATGTTTCTACTGTAGCCAAAAGATGGAAAGAGGACATGTTTGTCTTGTGAAAGTCTGCAACAAAAATTTCTTACAAGTGGATAGGTTAGAGAATGAACCTAATGTCTTTCCCTGAGATATGATCTTAGTTGTTGATGAACAAAGGCAGCTGTTAGAAGATGTCATCTGTTTGTGCAAATAATCTTGCGGGAGAATATTCGCTTTTAGATTCTTCAACCTTTGATCTTCCTTCTCTCTCTTCCTTGTTTCCTGTAAAAAAGATTGGAGTAAATAGACCACACCCGGGGGTGTTGGCCAAAGGCCCTCTGATGCCTAAGTTAGTTTGAGTGTTTGTAGAAAAACAATAGCTAAGCAAAGGGTACGGAGTTGTATGTAGGGTGTGAACCGGGCAGCCGGAGCCGTGTGGAGAAAATATGAATGGAGAGAGAGAAAGAGCTTCGAATATTTTTCTCGGGTATTAGGAGTAGGTTTAGATGTGGGTTTTTTTGAAGTACCTTGAATGATGAATGAAGTCGTCTATTTATAGGAGCCTCGGGGCTAGGGTTTCGTAGAGAATAAACTCTTATTCTGATGAGTTTATTCTTTACCTAAATTCGTAGGGATCGAATCGGACTTGATTATATCCATTTATTGAAGATAATATCCGATTTAATGATATTATCTTCTCTTTATTATGATAATATCTGAATTAATAATATTATCTTTTCTTTATTAGGATAATATCTGAATTAATGATACTATCTTATTAAATAAAGATAATATGCTATTAATTAAGATATTTATCCCTATTAATTAATTGGCGAGATAAACTGGTTTAATTAATTAATTTAAGAGATAATCTTCTTTTTCCCGTGGCGTTGTGTGATTGGAGACGAAAATATTTGCTCCCACATCATCCTTGTCTTCCCCCAACCTATAACTTTGTACTGCTTCAGCAGTTTTGAGGAGCATGCTGATCAGGGGAGAAATGTCCCACTAAAGAGAAGGACCCAGGCTGCACAGTGGTGTCCAACAATAAGGGCAATGCCAAAATGCAAATGCGAGATGGCATAACCTTCAGAAATGTTGCTAAAGTTATCAAAATTATTGAAGGAGGAACTGCTCCAACTGGTAGAGTTCAGTTTAAAGATGCTAGTAACACTAGCAAGGGAAAAGGTAAGGCTGTCCCAGGAGGTTCACAACCTTTATGATACTTTTGCTTACAAAAGCCCTAAGAAAAGGACAAGAGAAGTGATGGAAGAGATTGAGGAAGAGTCTGATCCTAGTGTGAGATGGTGGGAGAAGTTTTAAAGGTTTTTGATCTCTCGACCTGTGACATCCTTATTCCTAACCCATGAAGATGTTATCTTGGAATAGCCGAGGCAGTGCCTAGCATGATTTTTTCTTTCAAGCCATGTTTATATTACTACTTTTAGTTTAAATGTTTTTCTGTACTTCGGATTCCAGAGCCTCGAGGACTAGAGCTGAGGTTATAGCTCAAAGGCTTGGTTTTAATGGTTTATTTTGTATCCCAGCTATTGGTCAATGTGGGGGGATTATCTTATTGTGGAATAATTCCCTTATTAATATATCTATTTTAGAATATCATGAGCATTTTATTCATTGTCGTGTTCAAGATCTAAATAATCATAAAACCTGGTATGCCACCTTTGTTTACATCTACCCTCAAAAGGATAAACACAAACTACTTTGGCCTGATATTGTTGCTCTTAAACCCCGAATTTCAGAAGCTTGGGTGCTTCTGGGTGATTTCAATAATATATGTAATCTTAGTGAAAAGTTGGGTGACAATCAAACTTTTATTTGGTGCAATGGTCATAAGGATAACTCAGTGATTTATAAAAGACTTGATTGAGCTCTAGCCAATCCCAACTGGTTGCAGTTCTACCCCAATTGTGTTATGCAAAACCTTCCTATTATGAGGTCGGATCATGGCCCAATTTGTTTAATGTGCCCCACTGTCCAAAGGAATAAACCTAAAGCTTTCAAATTTGAAGCTATGTGGTTGTCTCATCAGGATTTTCCTCTTATTGTTAATCAAGCTTGGAATGTTACCTATCAGGGTATTGCTACCCATAGGTTAACACTTGTTGTAGAACTTTTCAACACAGAATATTCAAGATCAGCTAGCTTTAAGCTCCAATGACCATTACCTTAGGGCTAGATACTTAACCATCAATAAGGAGATCAAATAACTTCTAGAGCATGAAGAGCTCTTTTATGCGCAAAAAGCTCGAGCCAACTGGCTGAATTTAGGAGATATATAGGAACACTCAATCGTTACTTTCATACCCAAGCTCTCATTAGAAGAAAGAGAAACCAAATCCTGAAACTTAAAGATGGTCAAGGAAACTGGGTGGAGGACGAATGCCTAATTCAAACCATTGTTTCAGCTTTTAAAAATAGTTTTGCAGCCTCAAGCCCACCCTCCCAAAACTCTCTTAGGGACTATACCACTATAATCCAACCTTACATTATTGATACTGATAATTCTAACCTTTATCTCATGTTTTTGAGTTGGAGTTGGAAAATTTTGTTAGAAGCATTGGAGCCCTGAAAGCCCTTAGGGCTCATTTGGTATGCGGGACTGTCATGGACTAAACTAAATATTGGGACTGTCTTGGATTGGCTTGGCTTGGCATGAGCTGAATAAGACTTGTACTGTGTTTGGTGCACGATTGGACTATGACTAAATTTTTTGACTCTTTAATTTTTAATTTAAAAAAAAAGGCAAGTGGATTTATTTGTTTTGTTTTGTTTTTTTTTTTTTAACTTTTCTTCTTTCTTTCTCTGTTGTTTTATCTTCTTCTTCCAACCTGCGACTTCTTCATCTTCTTCTTCTCCCTTCCTCTCTCCTTCTCCTCTTCTTCTCAATCTATTTGTCTCTCTGCTTCTTAATTCAAAATTTTATATTCTCTCATTTTCCTATTTCACTA